TACAAAATATTTTTTGGCGGGAAAAGTGATCCCGCAATTTTCCCGCCAAAACACTTGTAAAAAACTTTAAAAAACCTTGTAAAATTTTCCCGTAAAAATTTTTCCCGCCAAAAAAATTTTTTTGCGGAAAAAGTGATTCCGCAATTTTTTTTGCGAAATTTTTTTGGCGGGAAAATTTTTGGCGGGAAAAATTTACAAGGTATTTTAAAGGTTTTACAGAGTATTTACAAGTGTTTTGTAAGGTTTTACAATGTATTTTAAAAGGTTTTACAAGGTACTTATAAGGTTTTATAAGGTATTTATAACTTGTAAAACCTTATAAAAAACTTGTAAAACCTTATAACTTGTAAAAACCTTATAAAATAGCTTGTAAAATCTTATAATATCTTATAAATACCTTGTAAATACATTGTAAAACCTTTTAAAATACATTGTAAAACCTTATAAATACCTTGTAAAAAACCTTTAAAATACCTTGTAAATTTTTGGCGGGAAAAATTTTCCCGCCAAAAATTTAACGCCAAAAAAATTGCGGAATCACTTTTCCCGCAAAAAAAAATTTTTGGCGGGAAAATTTTTTGGCGGGAAAATTTTACAAGGTATTTTAAAGGTTTTACAAGTTTTTACGAGTGTTTTGGCGGGAAAAATTGCGGGATCACTTTTCCCGCCAAAAAATATTTTGTATTTTGTGGACCTAATTTTGTTATATTTCCTTATATATTTGTGATATCTTTTATTAAAAGAAGGGTAATTTAGTCATTTTATATATTAAAAGGGGTATTTTTAAAAATGGACAGCCAAAGGGGGCATTTTTGAAAAGGGGTATTAAAAAAGGGGCATTTTTGTGAGTCTCCCATGTTTTAATAAGTTCATTTGTGGGTTTTACTTTGGGTAACTAATTCTAGAACAAAAAAAAAAAAACACTAATATATTTTGGTATTAGAAGCCACATGAAAAGCGTTACTGGAGAAGAAAACTCGTCGCAAACATTTATTTTGAGAAAAGACGTAACACATGGAGCAATACATTAATATAATGCACGCTACTATATTTTTTTATTAAAATTACATTGACTGTTATATAAGTTAGAATTTCATTCACTGAGACATTTATAAAACACTATATGCGATGACATATTAAATTTAATAATTCCTGTAAATTATATTATACTATAAAAATACATTAAATGTATTGTGTAATAAAAATTGTAAATAAATACTCCAACTTGGAGTTGTAACGTGTGAGAATAAATTGGTGTTATAAATTTTTTTTTTTAAAGTTAGATTGGAAAGAAGAAAAAAAAAAGAGAAATTTTTTTTAAAAAAAAGTTAGATTGGAAAGAAGAAAAAAAAAGGGACAAATTAGAAAATATTAGAAATGTATTATATGGAGATATTAAAATATTATGTAATATAAAAAAATGAGGAAAACAATTAAATTTAAAAATAGATGCCAAATGTACTAATATTATGAGAAGTTTAAAAAATGTACAAATATTTTGTGAATTTAAAATTTTACTGATCCATAATTTTGAATCAGATGAATAAGTGGTGATTTTAAGTAGATAATAATTTTGGCAAATCAAATTAGATACAAATTTCAATTTAAATACATGTCAAATGTAACAATAGGATAAGAGAAATATCTTTTTTGGAATTAAATTGTAGGCACAAACTTTCAAACCTAAGGATTTAAAATAGATTAAAACAAATATTAATGAAATGAAAGAGGACACATGTCACCGAAAGAGAGTGCCAAATGTCGCAATGGTAGGTAAAGTTAGAAGAAAACGTTCTCATATTATATAAGATATATATATCTATATATACATTTTTGGATGACTTTTAGCAAATAAATCCTGGAGTTGGAATGTATTTACAAAGAATGCCATTGGCATTTATTATTTACTTTTATAAAATTTAAATAAAAGATATGAACCAAACAATATCTTGCCTAATTTGTTTTTAAAAATCTCTACACAATCTTTCCATATATCTTCAAAAAACTTTTATAGCAAATATTTATATTAACATTTTGCATAGTAATAAAAATACTAATTTATAATAATCAAAATATTCACATAGAAAAATTATATACACATACAAGAAAAAAACTATATATGTCATCATTTAAGCCGTTGCTTTATTTAAATAAAATAAAAACACAAAAACCTGAAATCATATATTTTATATGATAAATTTAAAATATATATTAGTAATATAAATTTAAAATCATTCAAAGAACGGTATACCACGGGTGAGATCCTAAAATTATTGGATTTTATTACAATAATAATTTATTTTCTTGGATTTTATAACACTAATAATTTAGCTAATGGGATAATATAGACGGGTTTATATGGAATGACGGGTTTGGGTCGATATTAATAACGGTATATTAAGTATGAAATCCTAAAATTAACAATCAAAATACAATTATACAATCTTAAACACAAAACAAAAGAAACAATATTAACAAAACAAATACAACTTAAAATTTTTAGTTATTAAAAAACCGACCCACGGTATACTTCGGAGTCAAATATTCAAAATTTTAAAATCCACCATACATCGTTACTTAAAAAAAATGTATGTTTTCGTATCTATACTTTAAAAATTGAAACCTAAACAATAGTAATCATACACTAGATAATACATAGATATATATCTACATTTAAAAATACAAATTAATATGATATATCTTCAGTTAAACTTTAAAAAATAACATTATATTTTTTAAAAAAATATAGCCACGCGGTGTACCGCGGGTTAAATTCTAGTATATATATATATATATATATATATATATATATATATATATGTATGAATGAATAATTCAAAAAATGGACAATACTCTTGTTGTCTTTACAAACCTCAAATTTCGGACAAAGTCTATTGCTCAAGGTCAACTGTGCTTTCACAAGTCTATGCGATTTGATCATTCTCTTATATTTTCTGTGAATTTTTGCTCTGAATTAGTGTCATTTGATCTAAAATCGGTGAAGAAAGTGATCTGAAACAATCTGTTTGATTCCTGATCCAATGTCGCTTGTCGAGATCTCTGGCGCTGATGCCGTGGTGGCGCCTATGCGTGGAAGAGTACCACTACCACCACCACCTCCTCCTATGCGTAGAAGAGAACCACCACCTCCTATGCGTAGTAGAGTACCACCACCTCCTCCTCCTATGGGTAGAAGAGTACTACCACGTCCTCTGATATGTCCAGGAGCCCCACCTCCACCTCCACCTCCACTTCCGATGTTTGGTGCCTTAAGAGCTAAGGGTGATCCTAAGGATCCAGCTAAAAAAAAGTCCTCCCTGAAGCGCTTACACTGGGTTAAAATAACAAAGGCTTTGCCTGGGAGCTTATGGGATGAGTTACAGAGACGACAAGCATGCCGCGATACCGAGGATGAAAAGATTTTCTGGTAATCCCCTGAACAAACCGAATTCCAATGAAGTGCACATATCATTGACCATTGCTTTGCAATTAATCATCATTTTTTCCCTATTTTATTTTGCTAGTGCAACAGAACATGATGTATCAGAAATAGAGACCCTTTTCTCTCTTGGGGCAAAACCAAAACCTAAAAAAGTTCCACTGGTAATGTGAAATATACCTAACACTCAATTAACTTGCTCTTTTCTGGTGGAGACTTTTGTCACGTACACTATAAACAAGAGACTTTTGTAATTCAATATTCCACTCTTTTTTGAAGAGTTGTTGTTTGTCTTATGGCTTTCAAGATTGACAACCTTTGGAGAGCTCACGACACGGAAATTAGGCTAATGTTATTAAATATTCGGCTGCCTGATCTGATGGTAAGCTCCAAAACCTACATTAATCTTTCATAGCTTAATGATAATTTATCCACATTTTTTCTTTGCATCGTCGTCCGTCTAGGCTGCAATCATGGCAATGGATGAGTCTGTACTAGATGTTGATGAAATAAGGAATCTTATAAACCTTTTCCCAACCAAGGAGGATATGGAGCTTCTTAAGGTTACACCTCTTGACTTTTGAGTAGCATTTATCTACTTGTGTCTTTATTTTGTGAAATATATCAATTCTTCTTCACTTTTTATTGACACGAGTTCTTGTTCTTGGTCGTAATTGACTGATTTGTACGTTGTAGACCTACACTGGTGACAAGGGGACCGTGGGAAAGACGGAGCAGGTCTTTTGAAGTCTTGAGATTATCAGTCTTGCACTGTTTTTGGTTCCTAGTATAAATATATATGTTTAGTAACTCATTTTCTTCTGTCATCAATTTTGCTATCGCAGTACTTCCAAGAGCTAATGAAGGTGTCACGAGTAGAATCAAAGCTGAGAGTATTTTCCTTCAAGATTCAATTTGCCACTAAGGTCCGTCGTTTTGGTTTGATCAGCATCTATATATGTAACTGTATATTCTTGGTTCTCACGTTAATGATGATTACTGTGCAGATAACAGAATTAAAAAAAAGGTTAAGTGTGGTAGATTCTGCTTGTGAGGAGGTAATAGTTAGTTACCTCTAGTTTTTGTGCAGTCCATTTCTCTTTCTTATACTTTTTCTCCTCATTTCTTATTCATCATCAGGTCCGTTCTTCACAAAAGCTAAAAGAAATTATGAAAAAGATTTCTTCCCTAGGGAACACATCGAACCAATGTTTGCAAAAGACCTCAATGCAACACAATAAGATTTCTTTGATTCAAGAACCGCGCCTTTTTGTTTCCGCTGCATCATATACATTTGTTTGTTCTGAAGGCAAATCACTTGTGGTTGATAAGAACCTTTCATCCTCCAGGTGTTGCAGTGGGATACAAGTTGGACAGTTTAAGTGTTAAACGCATGCATTATTTTTGCAAGGTAAACTACAATTATAAAAACAAACAGTCTCTAGATATTCCGTCGAGGGTTGTTTTAGAAAATGGTCCTGAAACTCTGCTCTTTCTTCCTCCAGGTCATTGCTTCCGAGGCATCAGATCTACTTGACGTCCATAAGGATCTTGAAAGTCTTGAATCAGCTTCAATGGTTTGCGTTCGTGCTTTTTCCAGTCCTCTACTCCTTAGTTGCAATTGTCTCATCATTCTCTATTTCAGATACAATTGGAGTCTTTGGCTGAGGAAATGCAAGATATAATCGAAGGATTGGAAAAACTGAACCAGGAGCTTACTGCATCCGAAACTGATGGTCCTGTTTCTCAAGTTTTTAGATATTTTGATTTGAGATTAGTTCCGGATCCTAAAAACCTAGTTTTATGTATTTGATAACAGACATTGAAGGACTTCATTTCCATTGCTGAGACTCAAGTGGCAACTGTATTGAGTCTTTACTCTGTCGTGGTAATTTCTTTACCTCTTACCTTTGACAATGTGTTTGATCTTGAAATGCTTTGTTTCTTATATGATGGTCAACAGGGAAAAAATGCTGCTGCACTTGCCATCTATTTTGGCGAGGATCCTAACCGTTGTCCATTTGAACAAGGTATCGATTCTCTTGGGCAATACATAGAAAAATAGTCCTTACTTGTTTTTAGTTGGAAATGTTATGTAGTTAATAACAATACCTGGTGATGGATTGCTGCAGTTACTAAGACCCTCTTTGACTTTATAAGATTGTTTAAGAAAGCACATGAAGAGAATGTCAGGCAAGCGGACTTGGAGAAGAGGAAAGCCGCTAAGGAAACGAAAATGAAGCATGTGAAAGGAGTCACTCTCACAAGAAAAGTGGTTCATAATAGCTTGGTTAGAACCTCCTATGGTATCTTAACATTAAAATAATATATTTCCGTATACTTTAATTATATATTTAAATTTTAATTTTAAAAGAAATTATAAACCAATTATAAAATGTTAAGTCGAGGATACAATAGTATACTTGGCATATGTGACCATGCATCTTCCAACACTTTGTGTAGTTAGCAATCTTTTTTCCTTTTGAGTTTGAGTAATACCCGCATTACTGTAAAAGATATAAAAAGTTGTACAAAGAGGATCTCTATTAAGCTAATCTCACCATATACTTTAAAGCCCATTGCAAGTATGCTTGCTTTGTGATTAAACATTCCACTCTGTTTGATGGACGGTTGTTCTACTCGTTTCTAGATCGACCTGAGGAGAGCCTTTAACATAGAAATTATGCTTCGGAAAGTAAAGATGCCGCTGCCTGATATAATGGTAAGCTCCAAAACCTACCTTACTAGAGTACAAGTCATTTACTAATTAATGTTTTATAGTTTTAATGATAATTTGTTCACATTATTCTTTGCATCATCTAGGCTGCACTTCTAGCAATGGATGAGTCTGTACTAGATATTGATCAAATAGAGAATCTTATAAGGTTTTGCCCAACAAAGGAGGAGATGGAGCTTCTTGAGGTTACCTCTTGACTTTTGAGTAGCATTATCTACTTCTTACTTTATTTTAGAGATCATTTTGGGAAATATGTCAATTCTTGGTTTTCATTATTCACTTGTTACTGACATGAGTCCTTGTTCTTGGTCGTAATTGACTGGTTTGTTGTAGAGCTATAGTGGTGACAAGGCAACCTTGGGAAAGTGTGACCAGGTCTGTTTAAGTCTTTAGATTACAAATCTCACACTGTTTTCACTCCTACATATAGTTTTAATAATTTGCTTAGTTAGCTAAAGCTAAAGCTCCATTTAAAAGAGCATTTCCGCGTGATTAATGCGTTTTCTTCTCTCATCCATTTTGCTACTGCAGTACTTCCTAGAGCTTATGAAGGTTCCAGGAGTAGAATCGAAGCTGAGAGTGTTTTCCTTCAAAATTCAATTCGGCACTAAGGTTCGGTGGTATTACCTATTATGTTATTTTCTGTTCTTTGGAGGAAAAGATTTTGGTTTTTATCATTGTCCAAGTAACTGTTTATTCTTGGTTCTGTTGTTGATGATGATTACTTTGCAGATCACAGAACTCAATAAAGGTTTAAATGTGGTAAATTCTGCATGTAAGGAGGTAAGATATTTGCAATAATTATTAACTGCGCCCGTTTTTCTTTCTCGAACTTTTTCGTCTCATTTCTTGTTTCATCAGGTCCGTACTTCCGAAAAGCTAAAAGAGATTCTGAAAATTATTCTCTGCTTGGGGAACATAATGAACCAAGGAACTGCCAAGGGTGAGTATTATATCATTTTTAGCTTAAGATATTTCCTAAGGCAACAAAAAAAAAAAACTTTCTGTTCAATGTGAGCTAAGTTCAAGAATGGGATTGCATCATATTCTTTTGTTTGTGGTTGATAAAGACCCTTGCTCTGCTTTCTGCAGGCAGTGCAGTGGGATTCAAGCTGGACAGTTTATTGATATTAAGCGACACACGTGCTGCTAACAGCGAGATGACTCTCATGCATTATCTTTGCAAGGTAAAAACTACAATTGAAAGAAAGAAGCATCATTTATTTTAACGAGCGGGCTTGTTTTAGAAATCCTCCTCTTTTGTTTTTCCAGGTCCTTGCTTCCAAGGCATCAGATCTACTAGATTTCCATAAGGATCTTGAAAGTCTTGAATCAGCTTCAAAGGTTTTCGTTTGTACTTACTTTTTCCGTTTCTTAGTTTTATTGGCTCATCATTCGATTGTCTTGTCGATTCAGATACACTTGAAGTTGTTAGCTGAGGAAATTGTAGCTATAACCAAAGGATTGGAAAAACTTAACCATGAGCTCACTGCAACCGAAAGTGATGGTCCCGTTTCTCAAGTTTTCCGTAATGTATGCTGTTTTTCTATCTTGATCTCCATCTTTTGCATATCTTTTATTAATCATGAATTTGAGATTAGGTCCATGACTAAATCTTCCATCATTTGGTATATCAATTCTTTGTTTTTCTACTTAACTTCTTCCGGATACTAAAATCTAGTTTGACGTTTTCGATAGTTATTGAGAGACTTCATAATTATGGCTGAGACTCAAGTAGCAACGGTATCGAGTCTTTACTCCACCGTGGTAATGTTTGTCAACCTCTTCCTACTAGATTCCAAGCGCCTAACCTTTTTGACAATGTGTTTGATCCTGAAATTATTTACATTTGTTTTTGAATCAATCTTATGATGGACGACAGGGAAGAAATGCTGATGCACTTGCAAACTATTTTGACGAGAGTCCTAACCATTATCCATTTGAAAAAGGTATGCCTCGGAAACAAAAAACTTCATCCTCATTTGTGCTAATACATTAGGAAATGGCTCATTGTTTTTATGTAGCTAATAACAATACCTGGTAATCGATATTGCTGCAGTTGCCGCGACACTCTTGAGTTTTATAAGGTTGTTTAAGAAAGCACACGAAGAGAATGTCAAGCAAGCGGAGTTGGAGAAGAAGAAAGAACGAGTCAGTCTCGCTAAAAAAAAGGATGCGGAGTTGGAGAAGAAGAAAGCTGCCTTATATAACTGACTATAGTGTGGTAACTCAGATATTTTGCGGTGATATAAACAAGTGATGTAAATATTTTCACTGCTTGGTGTTGTCAATATGTGTGGGTTGCAAAGAAAAACAAAGAAAGATTTGCATACAAAAATGATGTCAGTGTTTGTAACAATCTACTAGATTTTAACCCGCGGTACACCGCATGATGATTTATTTTTAAAGTTAGTATAAGAATATTTTGTAAATTATATCTTCTTATAAAATATTTATTTATCTTATAGTTTACAATTGTTATTAAGTAACGGTATACCACGAGTCCACGAGACAATTGTTAATAAACTGAGGATTTAACCCGTATTAAAACGGCATGTTAATGATATTTCTAAATATTGATTCAAATTTGTCCGCCATATAAACTCGTTCCATAATTTCTTAACCCGTCCCGTGATTTATTTTTATTTTAAAATTTAATGATTATTTATTATATATAAAAGCTTACAAATCATATCATTCTCTAAGACATTTATATTTTAATCAACTGAAGATTTAATCTGTATTAAAGCGGCATGTACTGATATTTTAAAATTTTATAAATATTGATTCAAACTCGTCCACCATATAACTTAATTCCGAAATATAACCCGTCCTGTAACTTCTTAACCTGTCCCGTGATTTGTTTTCTAAAAGTAGTAATTTTTAAAATTTAACGATTATTTATTATATATAAAAGTTTGCAAATTTTATAATTTTTTAAGATATTTATATTTTATAGTTTACAATTGTTATTAAGTAACATTATACCACGGGACAATTTTTAGTTTTATACAATCTTTTCTAAATGAGACTGATTTAATATGTCTAATATTGGTGGTATTAAAAAAAATTAAAGATTTAATCCGTATTGAAGCGGCGGATTAATGATATTTTAATCTTTTTATTATTGTTGATTCAAAAACCCGTTCCGTCAAACCCGTCCCGCCAAAAAACTCATTTATTTTATTAGTGTTGATCTTATTTATGATATGATTCTGAATCATTGTCTAAATATTTTAATCGATGTAGAACGTTGAACACATATTTTCGTCATAATTCTAAATTCTAATCAAATCTTCTAAATATCTAAATTATTAAATATAGAATATCCGGTGTATGAGTTGGGTTTTATTTAACCTGATCCAAGTATTATTTTGTGAAGAAATTTAAAAAACGGGTCGGATATCCGATTAACCCAGAAGCATTTTTATCCACCCGTCACCAAAGTGTTGCAAAAATACTAGTATAGATATATATAATTAGAGATCTCTCTCCATCTATGCTATCGACATCAGCATCCACATCAGCGTCCACCTAAACATCTACTTAAATTGTTTTATAAATTATAATTTATTAAAAATTCATTCAAGACATAAATATTTATATTTATTGTTTCATATGATGAATTTTTTTTTAAGTTAAATACAAATGAATTACTATAATAAGTAGAAACTATGAAATATGTTATACGTAATAATATAGTTTGAATTTTAGTGAAAACATATTTAAGGTTGATCATATTGAAAATCTTAGAAACATTTCAGTTTTAGAACTTGTATTTTAAAGTTGAAATGTCATTTATTTTTCACTTTTCAAAGAAAAACGTATAGTGATGAATCTTATATTTATTGTTTCATATGATGAAATTTATTTAGTTAAATAAAAATGAATTAATATTATAAGTATAAAACTATGAAATATGTTATACGTAATAATATAGTTTGAAATTTTAGTAGAAAAATATTTAAGATTGATCATATTTATAATTGTAGAAACAGTTTTAAAATTGATATTTTAAAGTTGGAAGGTCATACATTTTTCAGTTTTCAAAGAAATATATATAGTGATCAATCTTATGACATATTACTAATTAAACTAATAATTGATTAGTTTATAAATGGAACTAAATAAAATGTTAAATATAGCTATATTATAGATTATAACTCTTTGATTGTATTATTTACAATGGATTGCATTATTAATTATTGATATTAAGATTAAGATTACTAATACTGAATACAGTTGAATATATTTATTTAGAATTTAATTTGATATTTAGTTAAATATTAATGAAAATTTAACATAAAAGGTTTAAATTAACTAATATTGATATTGATTTCTATTTTTTGTTAAAAACATATTATTAATATATTTATGAGTTACCTAGCCAATGGAGATTCTATTTGATAATGAGATTCTCAATTTAAATTAAAATAAATTTACTAATATTATATTGGTGAAATTATCTATGTGAAGAAGCCCTCTTCTTAATACTTGACTTGTTGACGTGGAACTTCCCCTTGTATAAAATACAGCCTTCTCTTTGCCAAGTTATACTCATCAAACATTTTCTAATATTCTTGCTTTTACAAAAATACATTCGATGATTCGATCAATCATGGCCGTTGATTCGCCTCTTCAATCTCGGATAGCTTCACCGACGACATCCGAGAAAGACATGAAGGCTCTCATGTTCATTGAGGAGATGACTCGGAACCCTGACTCGGTTCAAGAGAAGGTTCTTGGAGAGATACTAAGTCGTAACTCGAACACCGAATATCTGAAACGGTTCGATCTTAATGGGGCCGTTGATAGGAAAACTTTCAAGAGCAAAGTTCCGGTGGTTATGTACGAAGATTTGAAGACGGAGATTCAACGTATATCCAACGGTGATCGTTCTCCGATCTTGTCTTCTCACCCCATCAACGAGTTTCTCACAAGGTATGTTAATATTGTTCTTATATAAAATAATCAATGACGTGATTTTGATCACCACAACAATCATATATGTTAATATTGTTTTTTGACCGTAATTAATTTATATATTTTTGTATGTGGCTGCAGCTCTGGAACATCTTCTGGTGAGAGGAAATTAATGCCGACAATTGAAGAAGACATACACCGACGTCAGCTTTTAGGCAGTCTACTCATGCCTGTGATGAATCTGTTAGTATATATACTTTTAACATTTAGGCTCCAATTTGGTATCATTGCATAATCGCATAATATCATAAGTTGCAGAACGAAAACTCGCAGAATGAAAAACCTCAGAATTTAACATTTTTTTTCCCTTTTCCCGTTAAACATTTAACTATATGTCTATATATATTTGTAACGAATTTTTTATATGTAAAATTTGTAACGATTTATTAAATTAACCAAAGAAATGTTTAACTACAGCTACCTGCCGGGATTAGACAAAGGCAAAGGCTTATACTTCTTATTTGTGAAGTCGGAGTCTAAGACGTCAGGTGGGTTACCGGCTCGTCCGGCTCTCACTAGTTACTACAAAAGCGACCACTTCAAGACGTCCGATCTGCAAAACGACTACACTAGTCCTAGGGAAGCCATCCTCTGCTCCGACTCGTCACAAAGCATGTATGCGCAAATGCTATGTGGTCTCTTAATGCGCCATGAAGTTCTCCGACTCGGTGCGGTGTTTCCTTCCGGTCTCCTCCGTGCCATAAGCTTCCTCCAGAATAATTGGAAGGAACTTGCTCAGGATATCTCAACCGGAATCCTAAGTTCTAAAATCTTTGATCCTGCGGTTAACAACCGAATGTCGAAGATTTTGAACAAACCTGATGAAGAACTGGCTGAGTTTTTGATAGGGGTTTGTTCACAAGAGAATTGGGAAGGGATAATCACAAAGATATGGCCTAACACGAAGTACCTTGATGTGATTATTACTGGAGCAATGGCTCAGTATATCCCGATGTTAGAGTACTATAGCGGTGGATTACCGATTGCAAGCACGATCTATGCTTCGTCGGAAAGTTACTTCGGGATTAACCTAAATCCCATGTGTAAACCCTCGGAGGTTTCTTACACAATCATGCCAAACATGGCCTACTTCGAATTCCTCCCACATAATCACGATGGAGATGGAGCATTAGATGAAACCTCACTTGTGGAGCTAGCTGATGTTGAGGTCGGAAAAGAGTATGAACTCGTGATCACGACCTACGCAGGGCTATACCGTTACAGAGTTGGCGACATCCTCTGTGTCACGGGGTTCCATAATTCCGCTCCACAGTTCAAATTCATACGGAGAAAGAATGTTTTGCTAAGCATTGAATCTGATAAAACAGACGAGGCTGATTTACAAAAGGCAGTGGACAATGCGTCGAGGTTGCTTGCAGAGCAAGGAACAAGTGTGATCGAGTACACGAGCTATGCAGAAACGAAGACTATACCGGGTCATTACGTAATCTACTGGGAGTTACTTGGTAGAGACCAAAGCAATGCTCTTCCTAGCGACGAAGTCATGGCTAAGTGCTGTTTGGAGATGGAGGAATCGCTGAACTCGGTTTATAGACAAAGTCGGGTTTCAGATAAATCTATCGGTCCGTTGGAGATACGTGTGGTGCAGAACGGTACGTTTGATGAGCTCATGGACTATGCCATCTCGAGAGGTTCATCGATTAATCAGTATAAGGTCCCGAGGTGCGTGAGCCTCACACCGATCTTGGAACTGCTTGACTCTAGAGTTGTGTCTGCTCATTTCAGCACTTCGTTGCCGCATTGGTCACCAGAACGACGTCATTAGATAAAACTTTATGAAAGATATCAAATTCAAACCGATGCTGTGAAAAACCCTTCAAGTATTAGTGCATCCATTTAAAAACTCTCAACTAAATTATTAATGAATTAAAACCTTATGTACAAAATTTTAATTAAAAAAACTCTTCATTTATAATTCCGCCTAAACATAGCTCGTTTAAAACGACGTGTATGTTTTTTTTAGACTTAACACAATGCAGTATTTGTCCAAAAAAATTATAAATTTTTAAAATTGCTGATATGGATTTAAAAGTTCCAAATCATGTAAAATAAAAATTGATCCTGTTCTTGTGCTTATCTTTTATTTCAGATTCGTTTAATGATTAAAACAGTAACAGTATACATTAATAATTTATTTTTATAGTTTTAGATGGACTGACAAGTACTTAAGAGATTTTTTCTTTAAATGTTTCATTAATAATTTAGATAAGGGTTTAACAATGGATCTACCGATATTTAAGAGTTTTTTTTTTCATTAAAATCCCATATCTAAACAATAAATTTTAAAATATATATATATATAATGGGAGAGTTGTCTCTCCTGTCCACATCATCATCTAAGTCATCCTATTTTAATTTTATGTGGGTTCTACATATTTTATTAAAACAAAAACTATAATTAATTCCCATATTTTGTAATTTATATTATTATATTTCATTGAACAAAAAAAATTACAATAGAATAAATTAAATACTAAAAAACAAAAATAAATATATTTATTACACAAAATATGAAATTTTTTAATAGAGATTGAATAAATTTAAAATTAGATAATTGTATCTTAGCATATAAGGAGTAAATATTCCTATATGACTAGAGATATGAAAAAAAAAACTTATCATAGATTTTAATGATAAAACAATCATTTTTAAGAGTTACAATTATTTAGTAGAGTTACAATCATCTAAAAAATACACATTTAAAATTAAAAATTATAATTATAATGTTAAAGTATCAATTCTTGATACTAATTAAAAATAAGAAGGATTTTGAGTACATATTATTATTTATAATTATAATATAATACAAATAGTTACGTTAATAAACTTTTCTATATTATCAGTGTTTTCTAAATTAAAAAGTGGTGGTTTTTTTTTTAAAAAATCAAATGAATGCCTAAGAAAAGAAAAAAGTAATATTAATCAGTGTTTATGAAATTTTAACATAGATCAAAAAATTTAAGGTGATTTAAAATAAAACAAAAACTATCCTAAATACCACAAAGAAAAATAAAAGAACCCAATCGAATAAGAAACTATGTAATAATAATATTTTCGAATGCTATTTGGAAATTAGAATAGTAATGGTATATTGAAGAGTTTTTAATTAGAAGAAAAAATTAAGTATTAAAAATATTTATTTTAAAATTAGAACAATTTATATGAATTCGTAAGTTACGAATTTTACGAAAATCAACGTTAAGAAGACTATATAGAATCATAATATACGTCAAATTATATATGTGAATTTGTTTTTTGTGTTTTTCAAACGGTCAAGATAAAGTGAAAACTTTGATGTTGAAATCTGATATTTGTGAATATGAATGAGTCCATATATGATATTTTTTATCTATAAAACAATTTTACATGCAACAAACATGGTCAAAGAGACTATATGACAAATATCTTCCGAGATTTTCTAACGTTCATTTTAATAGAAAGATAATGCAACTTATAAAAAAAAATTCAGTATCAAAAGATATGAATAAAAAATATATACAATCTATCTTGAGAACTAATTCATAGTCGAATATATTATATGTGAGCCAATATAAGGTGAAAAGAGAGTAGATGTCGGGAGACGACGGGTGAATTATAGAAGATTTTTTTTTTTCCATCCAATAACTTTATAATTGCATATGTTCAGCATCATTGTTTACAATAGGGTACAAGAAAATTTATAGTGAAAAGTGTGAATAAATATTTACTACTATGGAAAGATAATGAAAATGAGTAAAGTAAAATGTTTTAAAATTCAGTCAAATTGATAAAAAAAATTAAATTAAAACCCTGCGCAACGCGCGGGTGCACAATCTAGTTTGAATAGTTGGGTTCTGTAGTAAATAAGAAAATCATGACATTAGTGAAAATTGAAAATACATGGAGATTTTTTTGTTTAGATAATAAAAAGTTGATGACAAACTCCAAAAAGTAAGAAGTAGTGTTTTGAAAAGGAGATGGGTACATTATATTTGAACTTAAAAGGATATAATTTCTACAAATTTTTCTAAGAGAGTACACCTATTCAAATTAATATTAAAAATATACTATTTTAATAAATCTCTGCAACTAATATTATAACTAAAATTTAAGTAAGGATAAATAACTTTAATGAGTAAAGGAAATAATTATTTTTTCATCAATATTAAAACAAATAAATATATTTCAAAAAAAAATTTAAACTCAAAAGTATACCAAAACTTGATAATAATAGATCTTAGTACAATATAAAAGCATAATAAATACTACACAGATATTTTTGTTTAATTACTATATTTTTTATGATTGGACAAAAATGTTAAGGAACTTTAACTTAGCAATCATGTACAAGAAATATAAGTAACTCCTAATTGATATATTCTTCGCAGTTGTTTAAGATCGAACCCGTCACCAAGAACTCGAGAGAATAATATCTTTCTCTCGATCGTCCTCTGATCCCGCCATCATCTGCCAACTCCCACTTGTATAAATTCAATTCCCAAAACCCCATCCGACGAAATTGACTGACTAATTTTTAATCGGAAGATTTTCCGTTAACCTAACCCTAACCGGAGAGATGGATTCGATTATATGCACGGCACTGGATGAAATCTGTTCTCAGGGAAACACAGGGATCGCTCTCGTTTCTTTATGGTCACGTCTCTCTACTCTTTCTTCTTCCGTCAAGGTTCATGTCTGGAGAAATCTTCTCACGATCCCTCAGCTCCAATTCAAGACTAAGAACACTGTCTACGGATCATCAGATACTTCGATTCAACAGCTTGACGATGCACTAAGACTCGATTTAAGGATCGTCGCTAATGAGAACTTACGAGCTAACTTCGTTGGCTTGTACGATACTCAGTCGAATAACACTACTATTCCCGCGATTCAGCGACGTGTTCTTGAACGTTTGGCTATTGCTAGAGACAATGGAGATGCACAAAATCTGCTTGCTAAAGAGTTTGGTATCGATGGAAGGAACTTCTTCTATAGTGTGAAGCAGCTTGAATCTCGAGGTTTGATTGTTAGGCAACCAGCAATTGTGAGAACTAAAGAAGTTGATTCCAAAACGACTTCATGTATTACCACCAACATGATATACTTAACTCGTTACGCCAAGCCTATGGGTTCGCAGCAGAGGTTTGAGATTTGTAAAGAGGACTCTATGTCTGAGCATGAGGCTACTGCCGCCGGAGATAGTTTGAAAGATGATACGCTTATTAACGATTTTTTACCAGCAATGCAGGCAGTTTGTGATAAGCTCGAAGAAGCTAACGAGAAAGTTAGTAAACTCAAGCATTCTTTTATCAAGCTGGATCTTTCCTAGTTTGTATAATGTATACTATTTTCTTGTAGTGCAGGTTTTAGTTGTCTCGGATATTAAGCAAGACCTTGGTTATATGGGATCACATATAAGGCATAGAGCTTGGAGAAGTGTAATATATCTTTTTTTCTTTCCCTTAAGGTTGAAGTGTATAGATTCATGTTCAACTAGAATAGTCTGAATGAATCTTCTTGTGGTATAACATCAGGTTTTTCGCCGGTTGATAGACTCTCATGTAGTAGAGGAGTTTGATGCTATGGTGAATAATAAGGTGATCTATAATCTGCATCTTTTGCCAATACATATGCTGGCCAATTGCTCTTACTTTGTATTTCTGTTCTGTTTTGTTTGGATATAACAGAAACAGTTTTTTTTTTTTTTTTTTAATGTGGATTGTCTATTTTTGTAGGTTGAAAGATGTCTCCGTTTGTTAAAAAGATTTTCAGCAGAAGATTTTAACTACTCTAGGAAAAAGCAACTCCTAAAATTCGGAAGGAGTATTCAAAAAACAGAACAGACTTTGGAGCTTCCAATAGATAATCAAATTTATGATATGGTTGATGCTGAAGGTTCTAAAGGCTTGGCTGTTATGGAGGTATTCATTTGATAGATTTGGCTAACAGTTTTTTTGGAGAAAATTACTTATTCGAAAGAGTAATCTTTTTAGTATTCATAAAGTTATGATTGACTGTTGTATTACAGGTATGCGAAAGACTTGGGATTGATAAGAAGAAGATCTATCCTCGGCTTTGTAGTATTTGTTCAAGAGTCGGGATGCATTTACAGGCAGAAAGCCACAAGAAGACTCGAGTATTTCGAGTTTGGACTTCTCGTCATACTCGGTCTGAGTCTTCTGATAAAGCTGAAAATATTAGAGGGGAAAATAATGATTTTAGTACACCTCATGGTACCGGTGGATTGGCTAAGACCTCTACCGAACACAGTTTTAAAGTTTCAGATGCTGACATCTATACACCTACAACGTTAACTGATTCTGAAAGGAATTCAGGAGCCAAAAGAAGAAAGGTGGTTACACGTCGTAACTTACAAGAACCATTCAATGAGATCGGTGATAAGGTTGTTGAGGATGCAATGGGGTCCCCTGATTTACCGAACTCGGCTAAATCAAAAGTGCAGCAACCTCATGCTACTATCGAAAACTCTCGGAGAGAGCAGAGAATACTTGAGCGCTTAAATGTACTTACTGTTCTCTTTATCCACTTTGCTTGTTATAAACGTTTTCTCCTTTTTTTTCCTTCTAACTGACTATTTGTTTCTTCTTTCTTGGCTGGCCAAAGGAGGAGAAGTTTGTTTTGAGAGCGGAGTTCCATAAATGGCTTCTAAGTTTTGAGAAAGACAGGAGCCCTAAGGTTGATAGGAAAACCATTTACAGAATTCTAAACAAGCTTCAAGAAGAAGGGCTCTGCAAATGCGTTGGTATTCGTGTTCCAAATGTAAATGATTGTGGTCGTAGTCGTTGCTTTGTGATAGTTTTGCATCCATCTGTTCAAGGATTGAGTCGAGACGTAGGAAATGAAATTCATGAAAGGATTAGGTCTTTTGAATTAGAATTCCGTGGCCAGAGATTATCGAAGAGGAAAAGCAACGAGACAATTCCAGTATTGAATGTCGTTCAGAGAGGTAGAACTAATGCGGATTTAGATGCGCAAGCTAGCAAATCAGGAGTTATGCGAGTGAAAGGGAGTGTTTTTGCAAAGATGGTTCGTGTGAAGCTTCTACACTGTTTCCTTTGGGACTATTATAGTAGTTCTTTGCCTGGCTGGGACAATGCCTTTTCTTCTATACATGATCATAAATCTGAGAATTTGTTTTCACTTAAAGATGCTTTTAGAGCCATGCCACTCCAACTATTTGTACAAGTTGTTGGATCTACTCAGAAAGCTGATGATATAATGAAGAAATGCAAACAGGTTATGCGTCTTTCTGAGATTTCTAGCGACAAGTATAAGCTTCTAATGGATACTCGTGCCATTGGGGTATTATCGATGCTTATTGATATTTTACGCCGGTTAAAGGTAATATCAATAATTATATGACACCTTAAGTACTGTATTTCATATATGTGCAGTTCAAAAAATGAATAATTCTGTTGTGTGTGTCTATTTTAATTTTGTAGTTGATTCAGATGGTAAGTGATAGACTCAGACGTGACGAGATTGAGGAGAAGTATGCTAATTTAACACATGCAGTGGAGCTTAAACCTTATATAGAGGAACCTTTGTTTGTTGCTGCTAAATCCGATGTCACGTCTCTTGATTTTCGTCCTCGTATTCGGCATGACTTTATTCTATCAAATAGAGATGCTGTTGATGAATATTGGCTTACTCTAGAATATTGCTATGCTGCTGCTGATCACAGAGCTGCTAAGCAAGCATTTCCGGGATCTGTTTCTCAAGAGGTATAAATGCAGATCTTCTATATCATAGCTTATTACATATACAACAATTGAGTCCATGAAACTACAAAATATCATTGAAACTCTGATCTGCTATCATCTCCTGTGATAATAATTTTCAGCTGCCTATTATGTTATGTTTTCAGAAAACAATTTCTAACTGTCTGTTTTTTTAGGTTTTTGGTGTCCGCTCTTGGGCCTCAGATAATGTCATGACAGCGGAACAGCGTGCGAAGCTCTTACAGTGTATTGCAATCGATGAAAAGGAAAAAATCTCATTCAAAGAGTGTGAGAAGATTTCTAAGGATCTGAACCTGACCATAGAGCAGGTAAAGATATGTTTTGTGCGTTGTACTTATATATATTATGTGGAGAAAAATATTTGGGACCTGGTGGTAGTTTGGCGAATAGTTTCCTAATGTTCCTTGATCATAGAGATCATGCCACCATGAGAACCTTTATTTCTTCAATGTCTGATTTAAAGCTTTATCATCTCTGGTCCACGAACAGAGACTAACCTGGATGTTCTTATACTTATTGGTTGTCACGCCAGGTTATGCATGCTTATTACGCGAAGCATGGAAGACGCGTGGAATCAAAATCAAAAGATAATAGTCCTTCATCTTCCAGGAAAAGAAAAAGAGCATCTCTTGTAAAGACTAGAGGAGAAGGTGTCAGATCCATAACAGTAGATGGACAGAAGGTTCTAAATTCTGAAGCCATTGATGCCTCAACTAGTGAGAATTTTCAAGATTCATTACAAGATGACCAAACCCCCATTCCAATGCATCGACAAGAAAATGCAGAGATAAGCGATTTTACTGAAGATGAAGGTCAGTGTTGTTCCATCATCAACCGGCATGCAAGTTCAAAGACTAGATCAACTCCTTTACAAAGATTTTCGTGGACAGATGAGGCAGACAGGTAAGCTTGACACATCCAATAAAATTTTAGTAGTATATCTCTGTGTTTTTATGAATGATGATCATATATCAAATTGGTTCTTGTTGAAAACATTATCTAAAATATGTTATTATATCTCTGATTGATATATATATCTCTGACACAAGTTTTCTCTGGTCAGGAAATTGTTGTCTAAATATGTTAGACACCGTGCAGCTCTTGGGGCAAAATTTCATGGAGTAAATTGGGCTTCAGTTCCAGAACTACCTGCACCTCCTTTACCTTGCAAGCGACGGATTCAAACATTGATGAAGAATGATAAAGTTCGGAAGGCGGTCATGAGGCTTTGCAATCTGCTCAGTGAGCGTTATGCAAAACATCTAAAGACGGAATCCGGTTGTGTTGAGCATCGTAAAGATGAAGGAAAATGGGATGACTTCAATGAAAAGAGTATAAGTCAAGCCTTTAATAATGTTCTTGAGCTCAAGAAGATGGCTAAACTGCTGCCCTCTAAACGGAGGAGACCTGCAATTCACTCAGAGGACATTCAAACTTTTTCTATGGATCAAGTTAAAGATACATCTCGACGAGCTGGACATTATCGTCTTCATCAAATTTTTAAGCATGTAGATGAAAAGGACACTGGTAGTGTACAAGTGCAGAAATCTCTGGTAGTATCTACTGCTGTAGAACTGTTGAAGCTTGTCTTTCTAAGCATGCCTACTGCACCTGGTATGCCAAATTTGTTGGAAGATACCTTACGACGATATTCCGAGGGTGACCTCTTCACCGCCTATAGCTACCTCCGAGACAGAAAGTTCCTGGTTGGTGGAAGTGGTGGACAACCATTTGTGCTTTCTCAAAACTTTTTGCATAGTATTTCAAAGTCACCATTCCCGGTTAATACTGGGAAAAGAGCTGCCAAGTTCTCAAGTTGGCTTCTCGAACACGAAAGAGACCTTATGGCTGGGGGAGTCACTCTTACTTCAGATTTACAATGTGGTGATGTTTTAAATTTCTTTTCATTGGTTGCTTCTGGTGAACTCTCTATATCTGTATCCTTACCTGAAGAAGGTGTTGGAGAGCCTGAACATCGAAGAGGTTTAAAACGTAAAGCTGATGACGTAGAAGAATCTGAAACTGATAGTGCTAAGAAATTTAAGCTATTAGGCGAAGGTGAAAGCAACGTCCGAAAGGAAAAAGGTTTCCCTGGTATAGCAGTATCTGTTCGTCGTGTAAATCTACCAATAGCGAACGCAGTAGAGTTGTTTAAGGATGATGACTCTTGTTCTGGTGAACTTCATTTCAAGTCGGGAGAAACAAATAATCGCTGTGGTTCTGATAATATGAAAGAACTATTCAACTCTACTGATGCTACTGTGATACCAGGTAGTTTAGGTGATTCTCCTTGGCAAGCAATGGCCAGTGTTGCTAGTTGTATTATGTCCGGATCTGCAGATGAGCAACTTAGTTTATTCAGTCCCGGGGTTTTCGAAGCAGTTTCCAATGCCCTTCACAAGGCTGGTGACCAAGGTCTAAGTACTGAAGAAGTCCACTGTCTTATTAATATTCCAAGTAAGCATCAGGCTAACCTCTTCAACACTTTAGCATATGTTCGCGTATTTTTTAACCTCTGTTTATCCATCTGCAGGCCAAGAAACTTGTGACTGCATTGTAGAGGTACTTCAAACATTTGGAGTAGCTTTAAAGGTTTGTCTTACCATCTCTTATCTTACAAACACTCAACGTTTACTAGTTTTACATTGCTGGACTATGGACTCTGTTCATGTTTCATCATTTTACAAGTAACTTGTTAACCAGATGCTATCTTATTCAGGTAAATGGCTATGATAATTTCCGTCTTGTCCAATCGCTCTACCGATCAAAGTACTTCTTGACATTGGAGGATGGAGGAACTACCAAAAATGGTCAACAGTCTCTACCAGTAAACTACCTAGAGAGGGCTTTGGAGGAACATACGTCAAAAGATGCTGTCGCCAGCGGGTACAGTACTTCACAAGAAAAGCGTGAGCGTGTCGCTGTGAACAACGTTCACAAGGTTACAATTCTTAACATTCCCGAAACGGCACAAACAAGCGATTTGCACGAAGCATCTATCAAATCTCCATCTGTAACTTTTGGACCGGGTATCGAAAGTGAAACAAAGGAATCAACTTCTGAGAATTCGCTACCTATGGCTATATTTCCATGGATAAACGCAGATGGATCAGTAAATAAAGTTGTCTTCGATGGACTAATTCGCCGCTTTCTTGGTACCGTGATGCAAAATCCCGGTATACCAGAGGTAAAAGACTTCTCTATTTGCCACCTAATAAGTTCGTACCGTTACGATTTTGAGCTCTATGGAAATACTAATCAAAATATTTCATTTTGTGGCAGGACGAAATCATAAACCAAATGGACGTACTAAATCCTCAGGTAATATACAATCTTTCTCCTATGGTTTCATATAGTAAAACTGATCATATATAACCTCTTAAAGCTCTCTGATAACATTCTGTATTTTTTTTTGTCAATCTCAGAGCTGTAGAAAGCTTATCGAGTTGATGACACTAGACGGGTATGTGAAAGTGAGGGAAATGGTGCAAACTAAATTCACCGGTCCTCCGTCTTTGTTAACCGGTCTTCTATTTACCGGTCACAGAAAACCGGAGCTTATCAGCCGCAAACACTTCTTTGCCAACTCCAAGGGACTCTTTGCCTTGTAATATAGTAAAAATTAAAAAATAGTAGGTAGTAATTATTTATTTTTGGAAATTTTTTAATTCATGAAATGAAGTTTTGTCTATTGGAAAAATTGAAAATAGTGAGATAAAATTAGCATCTCTTATATTGATGTATGATTTAATATTCATTTTGAGGTATAAATAGTGAGGTTATAAATCTCTGGGAAAACAGTCAAAATCAACCCCAACTATTTCCATGAGCTTTTTTCAATCCAAACTCTGAACTTTTGTACTTATCAACCCAAATGCACGTAAATTTTAAATAACAAACCTGAACTATATAACTATTAGCAAATTTCAACATAATTATTTTTGTATTTGTTAATGTCGATTGGAATTGCTAAGTTGTAATAGTCTGTTCTTTTGTGTATGAATCATTCCTTTTATTCAATTGACTAAATGTTACATAATTTATATTTGTTACATTATATAATAACGGGTATATGTTGAAATTAGCTAACAGTTATATAGTTCAGGTTTATTATTTGAAATTTATATGGGTTAGGGTTGATAAGTGCATAGGGTCAGAGTTTGGGTTGAAAAAGGCCGCATGAAAATAGTTGGGGTTGATCTTAACTACGCAACACAATCTTCATTTCCTACGTAAAAAGTGTGAATTCGATAGCAACTCAAAGACCCCACTTTGAGAGAAATAACCATTACAGAAACTAAATCAAGAAAGGTTCGTTATTTTCTACCAACAAAAGTTCAAAACCCAATGGATACAACAAGCTGATATAATCTCAAAGCCATAAGCATAATGATTACAATCGCTCTCTAAAACAAAGATTAAATAGGTCTAGATTTAAATTTTGGAATCTTTGCAAACATTTCTTCCCCAAGCTCTGCATTCTCAACATTTTCAGGTTCTTTCGATCTTGTAATTGAAGAATTTCCAAGAAAGGAGTACATGAAAAGGAAAAGGAATCAGAGGAAACATCAATAGTTTATTACATGTGGAAGGGAGGCATGAGGCAATGACAAGTCTTGGGTGCTATGTTTTGATATAGCATCATTGATAACTCTATATATAAATATTAATTTATGGATTAATTAAAATTAAAATCTCTATAAAATAATACATTTTTTATGTCCCAATATAATTAATTTGTTGAGGTTTGATTGTATATGGCATTATTCCTTTCAATTAAGTGTAAGAATTATCCCAGCCTCTACATAAAAATCGTGTTTTCCTTAATCCCCTTATTATTAAAAGGGAAGTACAAATTGAAAAATGGTCAAATTTAGCCTCAATTTCAATTTCAATTTTGGATTTTGTTCTTTGTTAATCAAAATCGACAAGGGCATTTTGGTCATAAAGTTTCATTAAACTTTAAGAGATCCGCGTGTTAATACTCGGGTGGGTTAGGAGTAATTAACTCTTAATCACATAGTCAAGTTCTTAATCGGGTTTAGCATCCACATAAGTCAATCTAAGCCGTTCAAATTATTTTGTAAATTTAGTTCATTTTTGGTATCTAAATATGAGCATATTCGATCATAATAACTGCAAATTCAATGTAATTATCTCTCATAATAACTACAAATTCGATCATATATTGCCTAATCCCAAAAAAATCGTAATTACTATCTCTCATAAATATAATCCTAACCATAACCAACTCTACAATATTCATCATTTATCTAAATATAGCCAATCATTCAATTCTATTCCAAATTCGAATATATTTTGTTAATAGTATCTTTGATTTTATGCTTTGTCTCCAAGATATTCTCCTAGATTTTAAAATTATTGGAGCCAAAAACCCTAGCATCCTAGAATGCTATAAATATCAACGTCATTCTCATTTCCAATCCATCACTCAAATTCCTCTAACCTTAGCATCCTTCTTATTTAGATATCACAAATGGCTCAAGCAATTGCTTACCTCGATGACATCAAACCATACAAAACCACTTGGAGAGTTCAGGTCCGTGTCCTTCATACCTGGAAGACATTTACCACAAAGTTTGGTGAGACTTTCGACATGGTTCTGTCTGATGTCAAAGTAAGAATTCTTTGACATGTCTATATTAGTTCAATATATTAAAATAAGTTGTCTAATGATATACTAATATATTTCTATTTCTATGGTAGGGCAAGAAGATCCATGCGTCTGTGAAGAGAGAGCATCTCAACCGTTTTGAGAAGCTCATGGTTCCAGGAGAGTGGAAGGCTATTGAAAACTTTGGATTGACTTATTCAACTGGTCAGTTCAAAGCAACTGATCATCGTTACAAAATGGGCTTCATGGCGCAAACAAGAGTTGTGAGGATGGATCCATTGTCTGATTCTTATTACCTGTCATTGACTCCTTTCAATGATGTTTTAACTGCTGGTCTCAACCAGAACTACTTGATTGGTACATTTTCATATTAGCTATATTTTCATTTTTATCTAATCCTTTATGCAATATATATTGACGTTTTGATATTCTCTTTTGGTTCAAGATGTTGTCGGTCAAATCGTGAATGTTGGTGAAATGGAGACTATCGACGTGCAAAATAAACCTACTAAAAAGATTGATTTTGAACTGAGGGATCATACGTAAGTTTCATTCATTAGTTCTGTCGGCATTAAAATTAAATATGTCTTATTTTTGAATCTAATATTGCTATTACAATATTTAGGGATGAAAGGCTACCCTGTACTCTATGGGGTTCATTTGCAGAACAAGTTTTCTCTGCCTGTGAAGCTTCTGCTGGTGAGATGGTCATATGTTTGGTGAGATATGCTAAGATCAAGACTTACAAAGGTATTTTGTTTTGGTATTAATATCATACTTATAGTTTTTTTAAATCTTTTAAAAATTGAGCTGCTGACACTTTCTTTATGTTTTGCTTTCTAGATGTAAGGAGTATCTCCAATGCTTTCAATACATCTCAGATCTTGATCAATCCAGACATCCCTGAGATTGTTGCCTTCAAAGAAAGTTTACCAAAAGATGGGCTTGCTCTTACTCTTCTTGAGTCTAAACCAAAGCAGGAAATGATCGAGCTGACTACAGGGGATTTCTATCTTCAGTTTCCTAAGAAGACCATCAAAGAAGTCGCTGAGATGTTTGATGTAATAGTTCTTTTTTTCTATTACATTCTAATTTGATTGCATAGTTTATTCTAACCAACTTTTAAATGTTCCTATTTTCAGACTGGGAGGGTTAAGGTGCTCTGTACAATATATGATATTGACAGAGATTGGTCGTGGTATTATATTGCCTGTAGGAAATGCAATAAGAAAGTGTCTAAGGTTGTCACAACTTCTCTCAAGCCACAATTCTGGTGTGACTCTTGCCGATCACCTGTGTGCAATGTGGTTGCAAGGTATGGTTCATAATCTACTGATATATTAATGATTTATTTGTTACTGAAATGTCTAATTGTAACGATGAACTCAACAGGTACAAGCTACATGTTAAAGTAATGGATTCAACTGGTGAGATGAAGCTGATGCTTTTTGATAGTATGGCTTCTGAGATTGTTGGCTGTCCAGCAAACAGTCTCCTTGATGGATCGTTCGATGAGTTTGAGGACCCAGAGAACCTACCTGATGCGATCAGACATTTGACTGGTAAGACATACCAGTATCTGGTCTGTGTGGAGAATGAAAATGTGTGGAATGGACTGGATACTTATAAGGTATCCAGAGTTCTTGCTAATGATTGTGTTGGAGAGGAAGATCTACCAGATGATTCAATTGATCAGGTATGGAATATTATAAATTTTGTCTGAGGTCCTACCCCCTATGATTTGAGAAGAATTCGATATATCAATAATCCTAATCTTATTATGTTTTAGACTCAGGGGAGCCTGCTGCTTACCTACTCTGGAGAGCCTTCAGAGACTACTACTCCATCTTCTAAGAGGAGTAGTGACAGTTCTCTGTCACCAGCTGATAATTCCTCTACAACTAAGAAACTTTGTCTTGAGTCAATCAACGTTGTGAAGATAAAGCAAGAGAAGGGTGTGAAGACTAATGAAGATAAAGTCGATGGAGTCAAGCTCGAGTGTGTTGCTCTGAAGCAGCATGAAGAGAACACTGATGAAGACAAAGTCAATTTGGACAAGCTCAAGGGTTCTGATGTTAAGCAGAAGAACAAGAATATGAAGTAGTTGACATCCAACAATGTTTTTTCTTTTTAGATTTGTGTTTTCAATAAATGGTTTATGTTAGCAGTTTACACATTTGCTTCTGTTTTCTAAAATTTGGAATGTTATTTGGTTTTATTGATTTTTCTATTGGTTTTTATTACAGTTAATATCTGTTGTTTAATGTTTCTTTAAATGTTTCTTTAATCACTGGAAAACATACATCAGTGTTCTTATTATGTTGGTTTGATATTTCTCTAAAAACTTTTTCTTAATTGTATAAGTTTTTTCATTTGTTTTTTTCCCTATTGGTTCTTTAAGTTTTTAAGTTGAATTCTTCATCTTAATTCGATATATGATGTATAAGATATGTTCCAAGAAGCTAAACATTCACGTATAGTAAAAAAAGACTTACTTTTATGGTATTCTTCAGCATGTATTTTCCAACTGCACCATAAGGTTAATGCACCTAATCCTGTCAAAATGAATCAAATATGTAATTTTTACGGTTTATTGGACCAGGAGTAAGATACAAATATTCTCCTCTTACCAAATACACAAAGAGTAAATATATTAATATTTCAGAAAAATAATAACAAATATACGGTTTAAAGAATTAAAATCTTACCGGTGAGAGAAGTATGGAAACTCTAAATCTATCAAATCATTGTTATTATTACGTTTCCATTTTCAATGCTAATGTCAGTCCATATGTAATCATCACTTATAGATAATATTGAACTTTTATTGTTTTTTTAGGCTTAAACGTTTCATATAACTGCTAAGGAACTTCTCTTCATAAATATATAACAAGATCTCCACAGAATTAGTCATAGGGAAACCCTAAATCTAAAAACATTTTCCGCAATTCTAAAAGTTGCTGTAACGTATGGAACCTCATCATTATCTTTCTGATTTGAATGTTCATTCAACTAGATGGTTGGTGCATGTGAAGATCTTAAGTTTATGGAAAGAACCTACTTCTTCTTGGAGGACAGAGATCAAAATGATATTGGCTGACGAGAAGGTATAAAATTCTATGACTTATACGTTTCTTGCTCTTTTTTATAGAATGTTTCTTTGTTTTGCTAAAACTCATGCCAAAATTTTTGATTTCAAAAGGGAAACAGGATCGATGCAACCATTCCAAATCGCCATTACCACTGGAATTTCCTGGCTGTATTGAAACCAGGGTTATGGTATCGCATGTCTGACTTTGAGGTTGTGCGCCCTGATGAGAAGAAAACCAAATATTCTTGCTTCCCAGTCGAAATCAAATGCATCGCAGACACTACCATGTGGCCTATTACTGTAAAATGTCCTTACAGTTTTTTTGATTTTGTTTTCCCACAAACTGTTGAATTTGCACAGGAAGAGGAAAAAGAGTTTGTGACTGGTAAGAGATTTTTTAATGTTAGACAGTTTTAGATTATAAAAACCTTACTGAACTCTTTTTTATCTTAATATCATGTCCTTAGATGCTATTGGTGTTGTCAAGGCTGTGACTACCATCAAACGGTTTCCTTATGTCTGTCAGAATGGAGGGACAGATTATGAGTCAAGATATGTGGCTTTCAAGTTAGTGGACTATGAGTAAGTTTGACTTCAATTAAGTTTGTAAAATCCATTGTTGTTATTTTCATATCATTTGAAATTCTTTTTTTACATAAAAGTTTTGTTCAAACATACTATAGGGGTTTGGAGATCAAGTGCTGTGCTGTTGGTAGGTGCTGTGAGTTGTTTGTAAACAAATATGCTCAACAGATTAGTAAGATTACTTACAACTACCAACCTATAGTCGCTGTTCTCCGAGGTTGGAGAATCACAGAGGTTTTTGGTAAGTTTTTCTATACAACTTTCATGAGGATAATTTGTTTTGTCTATAGTTCAAGGGTTATGATATTAAGCAGAAGAACAAGAATATGAAGTAGTTGACATCCAACAATGTTTTGTCTTTTTGGAGTTGTGTTTTTAATAAGTGGTTTAAGGCAACAGTTTCAACATTTGCTTCTGTTTTTTTAAATCCGGGAAATTTGTTTTGTTCTATTGGTTTTGTTTTGGTTTTCCTTACAGTTCATATCTATTGTTTGTGTTTGTGTTTGTGTTTTTATATAAAGGTATCAAGTTAGCGGTTTTATTCAGTCTAAAAGAGTATTGCTCAGTCTAAACAGAGTACTTCTGTCTATATTTGTTATTAACTATACTGCACTTTCATCCATGAATATAGGTTCAAATGTTTTAATGAGTGAACATGGTTGTTCCCAGATCTACCTAAACCCAAGGTTTCCGGATGTAGATGTCCCAAGATACATGTAAGATTCAATTCTAGCTTATGATTCAAAAAACTACCTTCTTTTGTTGTGTTTCTACACTCACTCTTTGTGGAATTTACACAGTCATGATTTCATGGAGATGCAAAGAGCTGACGATGACAATGTCATGATGGAGGTGGTTGCAGAGAACCAGTAGATGTTCATTGCTGTTTGGTGGAGGACCTATGTTTAATTATGTTCTGTTTTATGTTTTCGTATTTCAGTTTCAGTATTGAACTCTTTTGTTTTTGTTTATGCAAACATTTGGTAACTAAGCTAGGACCCGGGTTCATATGTAATAAGTCAAACTTTGATTTATTACGTATACTTCTATCTATATCATGATAGATTCAAGCTATTTTCTAAAACTTTTTGTTTTACTATTCTAGAAAAAAATACATTTTTACGAAGCTTTATTTATCATTAACCATTATATGGTAACTTACTACAACTACTACATACAATTAAAAGTTTATCAAATTGAGAATAACTAACCTTTCCGTATGATAAGTTATCTGTTCCTTGCGTAATGGGACTTACTCATCTTATTGATCATAACCTGTTAATAGGAAATAAAATATGAAGATTTCTTTAACTAATTAATTATAGATTCCTTTTTTAAAGGTATATAGCAACGAGATAATATTCTTTTTTGGCATTAAAATATATCAAGAATATCTAATTGATTCTTGACAAAACAGACTTTATTGTTAGCAAGATATCAGACCCTACATGTTTAATCGTCTAATCTTTGAAACAATATTGATTATTTGATTACAGAAACGTTTTCTAAATGAAGAAAAGAAATTCATTGGTTGATAAAGGTTTAACTGACGTAACTCCATCTTCTAAGAGGAAGTGTTCTACACCTAAATCCAGAGTTATAAGTAATTTGCAACAACCTAATTCATCTGAAAAGCAGACATCAGTTCCTGTGAAGTCAATATTTGGTAGGGTATTTACAGACATAACAAATTTGACTCCTGTGGTGTTAGAAGAGTCTCTTTGTCCTAGAGGGAAAAATTTATCAGTAACTGATACAGGTAAATCATTATATTGATCATTCTGCTAATTTTATGATGTTTACAGTTTTGCTTTATGTTTTTCTAAATGTACAATTTAGAACTTTATAATTGTTTTTTAGGTTCACTAGATGAGAACTCATATCTAACACCTGTTTGTGTTAGACAATCATTGTCTTCTCAAGAACCATACTCTTTATGCTCGGTTCCAATTACTGCATCCATTCACTCCTCTCAATGCAAGGGATATATAAATTCAACTGGTATATTGATAGTACATTTTAACATATTCGTGTTTTTTTTTTTTTTATATAAATCTGACTTATGTATTAAATGTATCCTATAATATACTGCAGAACTTAGTGAATGTTTGATAAATGATGGAGCAAATTTAACAGATATACCAATTAAACAGTCAACCTCCTCACTGGCCAGCAAGGATTTCCTAAGTTCTATCAGATCCGAAGCAATCAAATGTGATCAGTTTTTATCAACATAGCTTCATTTTTTTCAGCTTTCGTTAGATAGTCTTTTTTATCGTACTCATATAATTATTCATACACAATTTTCAGCAACATTGGCTGATGAAAATGTTCAAAACCTTTCATCAGTCAGAATAAGTCAATCTTATGCTCAACTTGGAGCAGATACCTTTTTATCCGACATAAGAAGAGAAGCTACAAAAAGTATGTTTTTAGTAAAGTTTGGTTTTTGATATTGTATTTTATTATTCAGCTTATTTCACATAATATATATGTCCTAAATCTATTTGCTTTTTGGTTAGACACCATCATTCAGTCTAATTCAGGAACCCAGACCTTAAAGTCAGCTAAGAAGAGAGCACCTAATAGGGTGTTAGGAGACATATCAAACAAACCTGATAGAAGAAGACGGCATGAGCCACTTGGGAGCAGTGTATTATATTCTGCACAAAACAAAGAAAATTATACACCAAACTGTGAGTATATATTTGATTTCATTTGCAAATATTAATATCAATAACAAAACCTTTATATGACATTAGACATAAATTTACCATTTTATGCAATTTGTACAGTTGAATATTCAGAACAGCAACCAAAACAAAGAAAATCTAAGAAGACTCCAAATTTGGAAGATTGTCGTGTAAATTTATTTGACTCCACACCTTTTGAAGGTAGTAATCATCTTCTATATAGTTTATATTTGGCTTTGGATTTTTAATGTATACTAATAAAAGTTTGTTGTCAAACAGAAGAAGAAATTTCTGATCTAGAACAGGAATATGATGTGAGTAGTCAAGAAGATATGGGTTCTGATAGCAGTTCTGGATATGAAACAGAATTATCAGTTGAAACAGATGAAGTAATACATGTTCAGAATAAGAGGGGAACATGTAGTAAAGGGAGAAAAGGAATTAGTCTTAAACGAAGAAAATATACTAAAGGAGCATCTAACCACATAAAAAGAAAAACAGGTTACTATCAACCAAACTCATATGTCCATAATTTCAGTGTTTACATATAAAAAAATTATTTATTTGTCTTTATTTTATTTCTTTTTCAGAAGCTCTCATTGACATTCCTTATTTAGATCACGGTGATCCAAAATGGAAATGTCAATACTGTGGTGCTATGATGTGGTATGATGAGCGTGTTAACAAAAGAAGAAAAAGCAAGAAACCAAAATTCTCTCTTTGCTGTCTTCAGGGAGCAGTTAAATTGCCATTTCTTAAAGAAGCACCTGAGTTAATTAGAGAATTGCTGAGTAAGGATGATGCACTAAGCAGGCATTTCCGTGAGAATATCAGAGCTTACAACATGTTATTCAGTATGACTTCTCTTGGCGGTAAAGTTGATAGATCTAATCCTTTGTTATGGCTTATCTTAATCTGAATAAGGAGAATGAGTTTGCTAGACAGTTCACTTACGCAGAGATTCCTCAATATTTCACTTGGGATGGACAGAATAAGCAGTGGAAGCTTAGGGAAAGAGGTTTCTGTATAGGGAGAATAAACTATGCCTCCATTAAAATGGAACCAGAATATTACATGAGGATCCTTCTTGGGATAGTAACTGGTCCAAAGAGTGATGAAGATATCAGAACATACAAAGATGTTGTGTATGAGACATACAAGGAGGCATGTTTGGCACGTGGTATTCTAACAGACGATCAAGCTTATATTGATAGTATAGTGGAAGCAAGCTTATTTTTCTTTGGAGATCATCTTCGTAATTTCTTTTCTATGATGCTTCTGGATAAATGTCTTGCAAGACCGGAGTATGTGTGGGAAATGTGTTGTGGAATTTTAACTGAAGACATCGAAACAAAGAAAAGAAATCAGTACAACAATCCAGGTTTGTTGAGATACAATTTTTTTCCGTTGGTTTGCTTGCTTTCCGTTTCTGTTATAATGAAATAGTGTTTTTCTTTTTTACTCCAGATTTAGTATTAACTGATGCTGAGAAAAGAAATTATGCTCTTCAAGAGATAGAAGATTTGCTGTTGTGTAATGGGAGTACTCTGACAGACTTCAAAGACATGCCTAAACCTACTCAAGAAGGTATAGATCATTCAAACCGTTTCATTACAGAAGAGAAAAATTATAACCGTGATAAGTTGCGAGAAGACCATGATGAGTGGGTTAATAAGATGACTTCTGAGCAAAAAGGCATTTATGATGAGATCATTGGTGCTGTTTTAGAAAACAGTGGAGGTGTCTTCTTTGTTTATGGATTTGGGGGAACCGGTAAAACTTTTATGTGGAAAACTCTATCTGCCGCAGTTCGAATGAGGGGTTTGATTTCTGTCAATGTTGCGTCTAGCGGGATTGCTTCTTTGTTGTTAGAAGGTGGTAGAACTGCACATTCTAGGTTTGGCATCCCTATTCATCCTGATGATTTCACAACATGTCATATCGTGCCTAACTCAGACCTTGCTAATATGCTTAAGGAAGCATCTCTTATCATATGGGATGAAGCTCCTATGATGAGTCGTTATTGTTTTGAGTCATTGGATAGAAGTCTAAATGATGTTATTGGAAATGTCGATGGAAAGCCATTTGGTGGTAAAGTTGTTGTTTTCGGAGGTGATTTCAGACAAGTACTCCCTGTAATACATGGTGCTGGTAGGGCAGAGATTGTTTTAGCTGCATTAAATTCATCTTATCTCTGGGAACACTGCAAGGTCCTCACTTTGACAAAGAACATGCGTCTTATGGCTAATGATTTGGATAAAGATGAGGCAGAGAAAATTAAAGAGTTTTCTGATTGGCTCTTGGCCGTTGGTGATGGTAGAGTTTCAGAGCCTAATGATGGTGAAGTTCTCATAGATATTCCAGAAGATTTACTGATTAAAGATGTAAATGATCCTATTGAAGCTATTATCAAAGCAGTTTACGGAGAATTGGATTTGTTGCAGCCTAATAATGATCCTAAATTCTTTCAAGAGAGAGCTATATTGTGTCCAAGAAATAGTGATGTCAACACCATCAACGACATCATGCTTGAGAAACTTAATGGTAAGAATTACGTTTTAATACTATAATCTTTAACTGTATATGTATAAGAAACTTATCTAACAAATTTTCCCTAAACAGGTGAAGCAATGACTTATTTAAGTGCAGACGATATTGATCCTCAGGATGGTGCTTCATTGAACAATCCTGTCTTCACACCTGATTTCCTCAATAGTATCAAGCTTTCTGGTTTGCCAAATCACAGTCTCAGTCTCAAGATTGGTGCACCGGTTATGTTACTGAGGAATATTGATCCAAAAAATGGTCTATGTAATGGTACTAGATTGCAGATAACGCAGATGGGTAATCATATACTTGAAGCCAAAGTGATTACTGGAGATAGAATCGGAGACAAAGTGATAATCCCTAAATCTCAGATATCACCTTCAGATACCAAATTGCCTTTTCGCATGAGGAGAAGACAGTTTCCAATATCTGTGGCTTTTGCAATGACAATAAACAAAAGCCAGGGACAATCACTTAAAGAGGTAGGGATTTATCTTCCTAGACCAGTATTTTCTCATGGCCAGCTGTATGTTGCCTTATCAAGAGTCACTTCCAAAAAAGGTTTGAAAGTTCTTATTGTGGATAAAGAAGGAAAAACTCAGAGTCAAACAATGAATGTCGTCTTCAAAGAGATCTTTCAGAACCTAAGGAATTAGGATAGTTTTAGTTTTTTTGCTTCTGTTATTTAACTTTGTAGATGTTTTGTATTGTTTTTTAGAACAGCAAGTTCCTTTCCATAGTCATTTTAATCCAAACATAATCAGACTCTCTGCAACTACAGTAGTGTAAGTTTAAGAGTTCATTTCTAGACAACAAAATCAAGAAACCTTAGTTCAATTATAACTCCGATTGAGACAAACAACAACTTCAATTTGTGTCTACAACTGAAAAAACAGATCCAAAACTAACCTTATAGAAATGACAATTGCTTTAAGTGTTGTCGATTTGCAAAATTTGATCTGCAAATGGTTTCATTCATCCTCTGTTCTTCACTGATCCCCTCTCCCAGATTTCTAACAGAAACAAATTCATCATCTCAAGTGCTTTATCCGAATCCTATATGAAAAAGGTAATTGATCACAGAATCTAAATTATCTTGAAACAATTCAATTGAATTAGAATGAAGCTTACATCATAAGAAGAATTGGCGCAGAGATGTGAGCTTATGATCTGATTATCAGCTTCTTCGGTATCATCGGTAAAGCTTAAGCGTGTCAATGGGTGTTAACTCTCGGTGGAGAACGAGAATCATCGTTCTCATATGTTTTTTTTTTTTTTTTTTTTTTGGTTTTTTTAATTTATTTAAATACACAACTTATGTGTCTTTAATTTTTAAAAAAACATAATTTTAATTTTATTTGTTTACTTTATCTTCAATTTTTTAAAAATTTTTAATAAATGTTAGAATCTTTGTTATGCTAAAAACAAATTCTCTTCAAAACTATATAGTAAAAGAACACTTATAATCACAAAAACAATTACACCACTTTTACTATTTCACATTTTAATATCTACTTTTACTTATATTAACATTACAAACCCATTTTATAATTAATACACCTATTTAAATATATTAAATCACATTCTTCTAAGTATTACATAACAACCAACCAATTAAAATACCACTTATTAGTTAAAAATGATTTAATTTAAAAACCAAGTTTATACCAGTTGAACATAAAACATAATCAACTACTTAATAAGAAAACCGCACAAAATCTACGCCCGCGGGATACCGCGGGTTAAATCCTAGTTATTTATTTAAAGGATGATATTTTTCTTACTTTATCTGTGAAGATTATTTTATCATTACAATTATAATATCTAAGCTTTTTATTACAAGAGACTTAATAGAATGTGACTATATAATATAGAAATCAGTATTGGTACTTTTTATCAATAGCTGGTAGCTTTCTTCACTCTAGTCATATAAGTCAATTAAATCCACATGAAAAACACATGAATAGATTTTTATCCGCCTTTTTCTTGAGAACCAAATCATCTGCACAACGATTCTTACACAAGTAGCAAATCGGCCGAGAGAGACGGTTCGGAATCAAATCAAATGTCATCTTATTACCCCACATGCACTTCACTAAACTGTATCCAGGTCTTGAATGTAGAAGATTTTTAAATACACATTCAGTATGCAGAGTAGAGACACAATCATTGCATCTATAGAACCAACCTTTTAAATATATTTCCTCTTCGCATATCCCACAACATGTAGAATTCACATTTTTTTCACCGTAATGTAAGTAGAGAGGATGGTCATCGTATTTGTGTCTTACCGATGTTGGTAGAGTAGCGCATCTAAAGCATAGAATGTAGCCGTCACAATCCCTCACATCACTACAACGTAGATAAAGGGTATATTGGACCACGTATTGACAAACTTTACACCTCATGTCTTCCTTTTTTTCTTCGGGAGATACAAATAACCAATGAGGATGACTTTCATGTTTAAATTCATTGGATATAGAAGCACATCGCACATCAATTCGATGAAGAAAATTGCCATACGCAAAACCGGTGCAATAACGTAGACAAATAGCACACCAGAAATAGTTTTCAAAGTAAGAGCCATACCTACCCGTATGATCCACTTTGGCAATCAAAGTCAGCTGGTCTGCGCTAACCCCGTGTCTTTTCTTACGAGGGAGATTAGCGCATGCATCATGAAGAATGAAATCACATTGTGTACATTTGTAGCTCAATTCAGAATATAAGGGCATGGTGCATGCATAGCAATGTTTATCTTCCTCACGTGGGAAGGCATCTTCCTCAAGTCTTACTATTGATATTGAAGCCTCCAGATTGTGTTCATGGCTAAAATGTTTTATTAGGTTTTGATCTATCACTTCGAATGGCTTACTTTCATCTTCTTCGGGATACCCTTCGAGATCTCTCCCATCCCAAATAGAATAACGTTTTGTTGCACATTTTGAATGAACAACATAATTAGGGCAAATCAAGCAAGAATATGCTCCACACTCTCCATTAACAAACTTGCGGCATACACCGCATATCCACTTCCCAGGGCCAAGAGAACGAACATAAGAGATACGATGGTCATGTCGATTGATGCATATAACACGTGGAAAGTGGAGGCATCTTCTATGGACGATGAAACAACATTGCTGACAAATACACGGGTATTGATCGGTACTGCACAACCCACACGCATCACAAGTGAATGAGAGCTTTATAGGTATTTGTTGGAGTTCATGCTTGTGGTCTTTATCTTCGTTAATGATCAGAGGTTTTCTCGCACAAGGTATACATATGACAAAAGAACATTGTGAACATTGATAATTATACTTCGTCGTGAATCCTGTTTCACATAGAGAACAATAACATGGGTTGATGTCGTAGATGTACCTTGCGATCTTGAGAGGGTGTTTATGACGAGAAGGAATGGTGGTGTTCATGCATTCCTCGTGGACATAAAAACTGCATAAATTACACATGTAGCCTGACTTGTTATCATGGTTTTTTTCGTAACACGCAAAACATTTTGATGAGACGTTTGTAGGATTTAGAGGAGAACTATTATAGTGATAGGGGCATTGTAACCAATCCATGCTTGCTATGTTGGAACTTGCTTTTTCCCTTTTTAAGGAAAGAGTTTTGGCTTCTCTCTTCTCTGTTTCTTCTTCTTTTGCAGGAGATTTGTTGTATATTATAGAGAACAATAAAAAAAAAAGGAACAAGAAATAAATTATTCTCTTGCATCGATTGGATAGTAGATTTTATAGTTTAAGTTGTCTTGAATTGGAACATTATGATTAGATTACTTCTTTGATACCCAAAGCATATACATAACTTTACTATAAATATAATCGAGTCCTTTGCGTATTGAACGACCCCATAGTTATAGAGATTCTTATTTCATATAGATCAATATTCCTTTCCTCTTTTTGTAATTATATGTATATCAATTCAAAGCTAATTTTGAAAAATATATTTTTTTTTTTTCCTAAGCTAAACTTATAATATTATTGAATATATATATATATATATATATATATATATATATATATTAGACACTATATAAAATAATATGTAGAGTGACAAAAAGTTGTATAAGATCTTATAATTTTTCTCTTTCATGATCTCAACTTCAAAGCTGCATTTTATTTACAAACGGTTTCTTTATGAATATGATTTTACATTTTCTAAAATAAGCTTTTTGGTAAATTATTACACACAATGCCATTATTTTCAAAAGAAAATAACTAAACACATTAAAAATATATATGGAATAGAAAATTACTTATATCCATATATCAAAAATATTCTAACAATAAATTTTCTATTATCCATACAATCAAACACAATTATATTTTAGCATTAATTATAAAATCGAAATATCAAAATAATATTCTAAAATTAATAATATAGATATTTAGAAGGTTTTGTTAGGATTTAAAGTTTTTTCTTCATGTATTGTGATTCAAATGTTTCAAAACAGACATATATTCAATTGATGAAAAATTGAGTGTTTACTACATTGGCTAAAAAAATTGAGATAATGATTCAGAGTCATATTATAAATAAAATCAAAATGAATTCAAATCCGAATGAATAGAAAACTTAACTTAACAAGCATCCAAATTTAAAAGTTTAATTAATTCGGTTTAATTCGGTTCATTAGTTCAGCTGTTTAATTAATTCTACCAAATAAAATACATTCTGAATTTTTTAAAAATATTAAATATCATTATCGATATATTTACACTTTAAATAGTTTAAATACTAAAAATATTTTAACTAATAAAATGTTTTAAATATCACAAGATGGGTTCTATGGTGAGGCAAGTTTGGATCGATATTAATATAAATTTAAAATCATTAACCAGTAATACACCATGGGGTAAATCTTCATTTGATTAGTTCGTGAAAAAGACTAATATTAGAATATTAGACAGGTTAAATCAAATTGATTTACTTAAGATTATATGAAAATTGTATTCTAGTATACCAGGGGTTAAATCCTAATTTGATAGTACAAGCAATTAATGAGTATACTTAACTTGGAAAAAAAGGAAAGTGAATCCCTTGCGTATAAAATATGTATATACAAGAAAACCTGAAAATGGAGGCAAGGGGAATATGTTTTCCCTCTCCATTTTATTACCTAGAATTTGCATCATCAAACAAAATCCACCTGATACGAACCACACACAAGAAGGAAAAACATATCTATGACCAAGCATGAGCTAACACTTAAGTATTATGTGCATGCTTGATGTTTAGATGAGATGGTTAATAAGAAACAATTTTATTTTTTCTCACTTTGAATGAATTTTATTTGTTTGTTTGGAAGAACTTAGTAATTGTATTTGTAACTAAAAATTCATTATTTTTACGACAGCGTTCTAGGTTGGTGGAACCGGTGGACATCCATTTGCGCTTTCTCAAAAAAAATTTCATAGTATTTCAAAGTCTCCATTCCCGGTTAATATTGGGTCAAGAGCTGCCAAGTTCTCTAGTTGGCTTTTCGAACATGGAAGAGACCTTATGGCTGGGGAAGTCATGACTCTTACTTCAGATTTGCATTGTGGTAGTGTTTTCACTATTTTCATTGGTTGCTTCTTGGTGAACACTCTATATATATATGTATCCTTTACGAAGAAGGTGTTGGAGAGCATGGAGATCAAAGAGGTTTAAAACATAGAGCTGTATAACGTAGGAGAATTCGAACCTGATAATGCTAAGAAATTTAAGCTACTAGGAGAAAGGGAAAAAAAAAAAAATTTACATAGTCACCTGACTTTAACCACCTGACTAATTCTGAGTGTAGCCGTCGAGTAGGCCACTCACCGGACCTTTTAATGGACTTAAAACATGATACCATTTTAACTCGCCAAGTGGAAGTGATTTAGATAATTTCACACTTAAAGAGAATTGATCCATGACCTAGACATACATGATACATGGAAATTTCCGTTCAAATGAAAACCTTTACACCACGACCACTTGGTTTGTGAAATCAACTTCCGAAAAGAAAAGGTTTTTTCTGGTATAGCAATATTTGTTCGTTTATAACTCTACCAACAGCTAATGCAAATAGTGTTGTGAGAAACAAATAGTGTTGTGATTCTGATGATACGAAAGAACAACATTCACAAGGTTACAATTCTTAACCTTTCTGAATAGCTCAAACAAGCAGTTTGCACGAACTATTACTTTTGAAACGGCTCCATCTACCAAAGCTCAATCTGTTACTTTTGGAACGGCTATCGAAGGTGAAACAGATTAATCAACTTTCTACAAGTCACAAACTATCCTATATTTCCATCGATAAGCATCTTGATCGGTAAATAAAGTTGTCTTTGATGGACTAGTTCGCCGTTTTCTTGGTACCGTGATGCAATACCAGAGGTTAATACTTGTCTATTTTCCACTCAATAAGCTTGATATGAATACTACCTAATTTATGATTTAGAAAATAGTTTAGGATTTCTATCCTAAACTATTTTCTTATTTACTTTTTCTAAAGTATTTTATTTTACGTTTTATTATAAATAAGAGTTAGGTTTTGTTTGTGAAACCTATCCAAACAATTGAGAGCTTTGGAAGATCTTACTGGATTAGGCCTGAGGAAAAGAGAACATAGCTTTTTTTTGGAGAGTTTCTACTCTTTTTACGTTATTGATTTGTTTATCTACTATAGTACTATCATAATTTAGGTTTTGGTTTGGAATTGGATTCTATCTATAACAAAGCTCTTTGAAAATTAACTGAAATTTTTAATATATTGAAGAAAAATAAAAATAGTGAGATTAAAATAGCATCTCTTATATATTGACATATGATTGAATATTAATCTTGAGGTAAAATGGTGAGTTAATTTTTGCTACAGTTTATATGATTTTTTTAATTCATGGAATACACCACACTTGGCGGAAAAAAAAATGGACGACACCACACCAAACTTCATTAAACAAATGATATGTATATATTATAATTTTTTTTTAATGTCGAAACCATATCATAATATCGAAGTAACTTTTATAAAGAAAACAAATGCATTAGGTGATCCTATATATGGTTAATGTTTTTGTCAGCCATAAACTATTAGGTAGGAGGATAGAGGAAACCCATACTGCTTTACCTATCAAGTAATTATGTAATATACAAAAAAAAAACATGTGGTCTAAATAAACCCCCACACATGTGAATGCTTCTGCTATATATATATATATATATATTACGAAAATAGAATAAAAAATTATTTTTTTTTGAGATAATAAATATAAATAGTACTCGATGATTTTATTAATTACAATTTAAATATTTTCCTGTATAATGAAAAATTATTTTTAACCAAAATTAAAATTTTTTTAACGTTATATTCAAGTTTGGCTTATTATATTCAGTGTTTTTCTTTTTTTTTTCTTTGGTAGAAATTATATTATATATATTCAGTGTTATAACAAACTTATGGTTACATTACTTGTTTTGGTGTAAATTCCAAACATAGATAAGAAAGAAAGTAAACTTTTGCTGTCGTCCCAACTTAATTATATCAAAGTAATAAATAACTGGAGATAGCATAAAACCTAACAACTATTGTTCAGAAATAATTTTAGAAATCCAAAAAACAGAAACAAGATATATAAGCATGCACACATGTCTTTGAATTTGTAAAACACAAGCCAATCTCGAGCAGAAAATTTAAAAACGAAAGAAGACGATGAAGCTTCAAATTCTATGTCTCGCTTTGGTTTTAATCGCCATTGAAGCTAATGCAGCCAAGCAAGGGATAAACGCAACGATCCCGGCACTAATAGTTTTTGGAGATTCAATAATGGATACAGGAAATAACAATAATCTTCACACTCTTCTTAAATGTAACTTCCCTCCATATGGTAAAGATTATCCTGGAGGCTTCGCCACTGGAAGATTTTCTGATGGAAGAGTTCCTTCTGATCTTATTGGTAACCATTTGAATTATTGTTACATTTGACTAAATTATGAATCATAGCTATTTATATATTCTGATAAGTATGTTATAAAATATTTCAGCGGAAAAGTTGGGATTGGCTAAGACATTACCAGCATATATGAATCCATATTTGAAGCCTGAGGATCTTCTTAAAGGTGTAACATTTGCATCTGGAGGAACTGGTTATGATCCTTTGACAGCTAAAATTATGGTACATTATATCTAATCTTTTTCCATCACGATCGTTAGTTTTTTTTTCTTTTTCTTATGGGTAATTCCTTTTTCTTACATTTATGTTCATTTTTGTAGTCAGTGATATCGGTGTGGGATCAACTCATATATTTCAAAGAATATATATCAAAGATCAAGAAGCACTTTGGAGAAGAAAAAGCCAAAGAAATCTTGGAACATAGTTTCTTTCTTGTGGTGTCTAGTAGCAATGACCTTGCTCACACTTATTTAGCTCAAGCTCATCGATATGATCGTACTTCTTACGCCAATTTCCTGGCTGACTCTGCTGTCCATTTCGTGAGAGTAAGTACTTTATTTGTAGTTATATATATTATAATATATGAACTAATCAATAATATAATTACATCCAAAAATAATTTATCCTACCTATAATTAATATTTAGGAATTACATAAGCTTGGAGCTCGAAAAATTGGAGTGTTTAGTGCAGTCCCTGTTGGTTGTGTTCCACTCC